GTCCACTACCGAATTGGTCCTTTGGATATCTGGCTGCTATGATTTTGAAAAATATAAAAGAGCTTACACCATTAGTACATTTATATGCATAAGGAAGGCAAATTATCTGCTGAAATACATGGAGCTTCACATTAACTTTTAGAACTAAAGCTTTTTACACATAAGTTCCTCCAAAACATTTTGTCTTCTAACATCAACAGCAACAGAAGAAGTTGATGGCTGGTGTGAGAATCTTAAAGGAAGTGACAGCAAGTGTTTGCTAGCTAAGTATATTTTTATGTCAAGAAATAAAAAGAGAAAATGTCAAAATATACCTAAAAGTAACTACAAACATGTAAGCTAATAGAATTAATTTTCACTTTATTCTTTAAAGGTCTCAGCTCTTCCTGTAAATAGTCAACTTCCTTCAATTCCTACAAGATAATAAGAGTTGAAAGCATTTAGTAACTTCCAGGAAGTTGCTCAGCACTACACCACAGTGTTTATAGTGCAGAGTTTGAAAGTCTGACTGGTATGACAGGTTCTTCAGAGAGAAAGACATCTTGAGACAAAGAAAATCTCTTCCCAAGCGTATGTCTTCAGGGATTCACCATAAATCACCTAACTGTTAACATATTTAGGTTGATTGAATGTGAGAATGTTATATGTAGACATCAGCTTTCCAAATGGCTGTGATTTAGAGAGCTGCAGGTGTTGCTTTTGTAAATTTCATATGGTTCAGTGCCAGAGCAGGACACAGCGTGAAAAATTACAAGCAGATCTACTAAAGCATTTTTTTCAATAGTCTGTACTGAAGAAAGCTTTGTCAATGTCTGTGACTTATCTTTCCACTTCTGTAAAACATGACACTAGATGAAGCTGTCTAATCTGACTTTTAGTCACAATATTTAGCTACCTGAAAGATAAAGTATAATGAGACACTATACATTTCTCCTTTTTCAGTCTTTCTCAGTTTTGGAACTGTGAGCCTTTGAAAGCAGATGACACACTCAATTATTATCAAGTAAATTTTTTATCTGTCATTTAATCACTTGTGACAGCGGATGAAATGTAAAAAGATTAAACTTGCACTACAGAATTAGCCTGCAAAATATAATAGTTACTGTAGTGTATCCAACATACAAAATGTAAATTTCCTGTCAGGAGTTTCTGAATATTATTTTTATATTTTTCCAGGTAAGATCAGGCAAAGTTTGCATTTCTGTAATGTCTTTCAGAATGTTATACATCATGTCCTGCTGAAAAAGGAATTCTGAAGTCCAAGAGTTCTGCTGTGATCTGGAATACTAGGGAAAAAGGACGGTGTCTTAGTGCATTTTAGTCTTAGTTTCAAATGCCTAGTTAACAGCAGCAGATGAATCCAGTTTTTTGTTTTCTATAAAAACTCACATTTTCTTCTAACACTTATTTGAGGCTCTACACTGAGCAAACTGTTGTGACTGTGAAACTGTTATCCAGAGTTCAGAAAAAAAAAAGTTCTGCAGGATGGTGATGGTACAAACCAACTTTATAACCTTGTCAATATGGCATAGTTTGTAAAGTCAGAAGAAAGTGCTGTGATCATTTACTCTTGTTTTCTGTATATATAGAGGTCATCATAATTTCTGGGCCCAAATCAGGAAAGCATCCTGTCTCAATTTAGCCATTATTAGTATTGACAAATTTTAAGTCATATCAGATGTATATTACTCTCCTTGTTTATTTGCTTGCATGCTTTTAATCTCATTCTTAGTGTGAAAATGTTGAGCTTTAACTTTAGTTAAATAGTCTGTTCCTAAGACCTTGTTCTCTACATAGTTACTTCCAGTTCATAGCTGCTGAGCTCCTTAAAGCATTTCTTTGATACACTTGTTCTATCATAGTTAGATTAAGCTCCAAAGATATTCTCTCCAGAAGAGAAAGAGTATTATAGTCTCTGGGACCGTTCAGTGAGTGACATCTATCATGAAGCCATCTCTGAGAACATAGGTTAAGAGCCAAGTGGATTTCTCATTTTTCCAAGACTACCAAACTACTTTCAGACAGTAATAACTAATTGTCACTTGTCTTCTGAAGTAGCTGCTGAGCTAGAAAAGAAGGCATTAATTGTCCATCATCTCAGGTACCATTGCTAACAGGACATAAAATTTTCTGAGCCCTATCTTTCAGTACTGAAATTACTCAGAATTTGTCTTTGACTTCATTGGCAACCGAGAAGTCTTGTAAGATGGAATTCATCTCACCCTGCTTTAAATATCTAAATCTGATCTACTTTTTATGTATTTTTTTTGGTCAGTAAAAGATAAATAGGCACTTTCGTGGCATATCCATCCCACCCAAAACTTGACAGATCATCTAGTCTGAGTGTTTGAAGTAACTGTATATGAGATTTCCAAGTTAAATCTCTCTATTTGACATGAGAAAAAGAAGACTGATGATGAGATTTAGGAGACGTCCCACTGAAGTATGGTGTGAACAGAAAATAATGAAAACAAGAGTCCAGAGTAAATATGAAGAAAGCGTAGATCCAAAAAGAAATCAAAGAAAGGTAAAGGAGTTCTTAATAGGCAAAGACACTAGCAAAACTCAGAGGTACAACTGCACAGATGTGGAAAGTATCTGTGGTAAGAGTGCTGTGGCTCCAGCACACATTTGAGAAAAAGAAGTCCAGAACTGCTGGAGTTTATGAAAATCACAAATCCAAAGAGTCTTGGCAAATAACATTTGTTTTGTATTATCAGGAAATGTTTTGCAAATTGGGAAAGATATAACCTGGAAGGTTTTGCCTTCCAAGTTCTCAGAGAAGGAAAAATTTCTCAAGGGAAAGGGCCTCATAGGGCTCTTGTAGGGTGTTGATAACACACCAGTGTTTTAGCTATTGCTGAGCACAGCATCAGCACTCACTTCCTCAATCAAGGGCAAGATCCTGGGAGGGGATACAAGCAGGCCAGCTGATCCAAACTGACCAAAGGGATATTCCATACCATATGACATCAGCTCAGATAAAAAAGCTAAGGCAAGGAGCAGGAAAGTAGGCATTCATTGTCTCCAATGGCTGCCTGCTGAGAAACCGTCACGCGTGCTGAAGCTCTGCTTCTCGGGGGGGGGGGGGGGGGGGGCAACCATCACTGCTCTTGGGAAGTAGAGAATAAACCGTGTTATCTTTCGCTTTGCTTTTGCATGTGCAAGCTTCCGCTTTGCTTTTGCTTCAACTAAACTGTCTTATCCCAAACCACGAGTTGTTTTCCATCTTACTCTCTCCCCTGTCCTGCTGAGAAGGGTAGTGATAGAGTCGCTGGGTGGGCACCTGGCGTCTAGCCAAGGTCAACCCACCACAGTTTATTAAAGAACAGTTCAATGTCTTAAATGTGAACCAAACCTTTTACTGAGGTGTTCTGCAGACTCCACTGCTGCAATCAATACTCCAAAGAGCCCTATTTTTCTTGGACAAGAAACATACATATATCTGACATTTGAGGAAGTCAGGTGAATAAATCAATAGCTAAACAAAAATGCACTTAATCATATCTATTCTGGACAGATGTAGATTGGAAAATCCTATACGGCCCACGTACTGCCTTCTGCTTAAAGCTTAGAAATGAATTTGTGTTTCCTAAATGGCAACATCCTGTTGCTGAGCGTCACTGAAGCTGGAGTGATCAGTAGCAATCAACTGTGTGCCAGCTAGCATTAGGCAGATCTGTTGCTCAAACTTAAATTCAGGTATAGTTTGTTATTGGAGTATTTTAGCATACTTAATAGCCAACAAATTACATACTTTGTAAGTTTAGCAGCTTTACTGGAATATGTAGCAAAGATTCACTTTAAATCTACTTGGCTGCATTTTCTTACCTAGAGTCAGCCCAAGGAGGAATTTAATATATACACATAATTTATCTTTCCTTAATGGTTTTAATCGGGGACCATTACTGGACATTTCTCATGGTGCTGCAAGTGATCATTAAACATACATAATAGCCCTACTAAATGAGTAGATAGCTCTAATGCCAACATTTTCTGCATTCAAAGGTACATTTGTGCATGGAATGGCTGGTATGCTTAAAGGTGCACCTTTACTTGACATTACTTCATAAAGCCCTTTGAGATAACCAGAGTGTGAGAGATGTTTTAGAAAAACACAGTTTTATTTCTTCTCTGCTTTAGCCCTAAGCAGTTCAGCATTATTTGAACATCAGCAACAGCAGTTCTTTACGACTTCAAAGTCAGATTCTAACCTCAAATTGGCAATGCACCTCAAGATTAAAAATCTGCCCAGCACTGTAAGAAATGGATGTTTTCAGCAGAAAGAATAGAAGTTAACAACACAACAGTCTAATATCACTCAATTACAAGGTATATTAAGGCTACACTAAGGTGCCTGTCATGAACACTCTCGCAGGAAACACTTAAAGGACAAAAACCACTAGGCTTGGAAACAGTTTTGTAGCTATTATTAACCTGGAAGAAGGGTGAGATTCCTATCAGCTGACCTTTTCAGTGAAAACCTATGTGTCAGGCACTCTGCAACTATGAAGCCCAAGTAATGTCTTTTATTTTCAAAATGTGTAATCCTGACAAGAGGAAAACGCAAATAGATGTCTGAGGTCTTCTATTTTTCTACCAGTTATAGCTACTGTCTGTTTTAGGAACACAGTGAGATTTTTCTCCCAAGTAAGAAAGCAGACTGTCTCTGTGATGGAGTGAGCCTGAACTGGAAAGCAGCTGCAGGTGTTTTGAGGTCTTGCTGGTACAAAGGTAACAGCAACTCAGGCTGCATTCGATGGGGCTCCTCAGCAAGTCCCTGTTCCTGGAGGCCTGCTCTCCATTTTTATTTTAGGCCCATTATCGCAGATTGATCAACTCAACAGGCGCTTCCATCCTGCTGATATTGCAAGAAGGCAACCTTTGTGATGTCACCTTATTTTGGCATCCTCCTTTTTAACCTCTCTAACCCCTCCTGCGCGCCTGCCCCACACAGCCAGCGGGCCGACACCTGAGGGGACCGGGTGTGACTCGCAGCGCTACCCTCCAGGAGAACCTGTCGCCGCGCTCCCCCGGCGTGCGACGGGGCCGGGGCGCGGCTCGGGGCCGGCGGGTCCCTCGGTGTGCGGCAGAGGGCGCCCCGCGTTCCGCAGAGCAGGGTCGGGAGGAGCCTCCGGCGCGGCCGGGGAGGGACGGAGGGAAGGAGGGAGGGCTGGAGCTGCCACGTCCTCGGCGCCGAGCGGCGGGCGGGGAGCGCCAGCCCGCGCCTCAGCCCCACGTGTGGCGGCGGAGCGGGGAAGTTGCCGGTGGCCGGCGCTGCAGACTCTGCCCCTCTCCCGCCGCTGCCCGTCCCTCCCCGTCCCTCGGGCGAGCGCAACTCCAAGTAAGGGCGCGCGACGGCCCCGCTCCCGCCCGCTGTCCCGGGAGAGGCCGGGGGGTGCGGGAGGCGCTGGGAAGGGGGCGGCGGGGAGCGCTGTGACGGGGCGCGGGTCGAGCCCGCGGTGTCCCGGGGGAGCCGCGGGGCAGCGGGCTCTGCTCCAGGGCGGGACAACTTCCCGCGGACTTTGGCTCCGAGCGCTCCGTCCCGGCGGCCAGGGCGTCGCGGTTAAGCCCGGAAAGTTTTGGAAGGCGGTGGGCGGGCTGAGTGCAGCGGCGGAGAGCCGGGAGCCAGCCTGGCTCGGCGCGGGCGGGCGGGAGCCGCCGCCGGGCCACGCTGCCGAGCCCCCGAGAAGCACCGCTGAGAGGTTAATGAGGAAAGTAGCTGTTCAGATGACTCACAGAAGACTTTCGGGATTTGTATGGTTTTGCCCCCCCCTTTTTTTTTTTTAAATATTCCTAATTTCGGTTCCCAGTCGCGAGTACAGTTGTGCCGGGAAACGACCGAGACCTGTGTTTAAGCAGCGTGTTGGAAAAAAAAAAATCTCAGGAAAGCATTAAAAGGTGACCCAGGATAGAATCAAAACAATCTGTTCTGATTGTAAAAACGTGGGGTTTGTACCTTCTTTGTGCGTGTTTTGTCCTTGCGATGAGCTGACGTGAGTTCGGTGCATAGTTTTTTGGTTCTCTTTATTGTTGGTTACCTTAAAAAAATTTATTTTCTGCTGTTTATAAGTCAATAATGGTTCATAGCTTTATTTTCTCTACTGCTTTAAATTTTCTTGTGTCACAGAGATTTACATTCCGTGGTCCCTGTCCTGCCTGAAATTTGTATGATATTTTTATCAATCTGTGTAGTACCACCCTGGGCTGGACCTCTTGGGGTTTCCGTATTTCTCTCAGTTTTGAAAATCTGATTGTCAATTATTTTTAGCTTTGTTCAGAACTTCCTCCTTCAAATGAACTAGAAGTCTTATAGGAATTCCCTGATGCCCTGTTAAAAAAAAGTGAAATGAGTTTCTCATTGGTACATTTTTAATAACTTTTTGCTCTCCTTCACTCTCTTAATTGCCTTTTAGTGGCCTATTTATAACATACAGGACTCCTAAATTGAAGCTAAGAAGAAAGCTGATTTTAGATTGTTCTTAACTGTTGTTGATTTTACTGATCTGTGTCAGAAAAAAGAACTGCTCCTTGTCATAGCAATTTTAGCCCCTAGTTTCCCTCATGCTTTGTGGGAAACATAGAAAGGACATCCACCAACAGGAATTTTGGGTGCAGCTGTCAAATACCCCCCAATATTTTGGGGGAAGTAGGAACTACCTGTTTCTTTATTGCTTTTTCCAGCGTGGACTTGCACAGGTCTCTGTTCTGCTCTTTGAGAGGGTTTTTGGTGGAGCTCTTGGCTCTAAAGAAAGGCATAGTGGCTCAGAACAGCTTGGACAGCGCTGGCAGACATACAGAAAAAAAGACAAGCCATTAGCAGAGCTGGGCATTTTCAGATGCTGCCGGGGTGGACATTGGAAAGCTCTCCTAGGGAGTCCTTAGCACACATAACACCCTTTTGCGATATGACTGATGGGTCTAGTTTGTGTGAGAAGTAAGATGTTTAGCAGTGGCCGCATGTCCACACCTCCTGTTTGTGGAACACTATCAGAGCTTTGTAGCTACCCCAGAGCATCAGACACAGGTGGAAGTTGGCCTGTGTGAGGTGACAACCCTTCGTCATGCTCCCTAGCTGATCACGGGCTCCTCGCTGCTTGTTTGGATGTGTGCGTGCAGTAATAGTGCGAGAGAGGACTATATGCTCACTGGTTGCTGCTATATCCATATGCTAGCAAAATAACTTCAATATGTTTTTAAAAATCAAATCATGTTTTTTCATGCATTAAATGAACAGGGAAATGCTTTTGCATATATATAAGATATACATGCTGATTAGGTCATATGACCTATGTTCTTATTGGATGGTAGCTAAACTATACACTAAAATCTTTGATCATGGCAATGTAGTGCAGTTTCCTTGTTCGTTTTTGTTACAAATTTTCCTCCTTCATTGTCTTTCTCCTTTGCCTGTCACCTTGAAGCTCAACAAGGCTTGTCTTGGTGGTGGGGTCCCACCAAGAAGCAGTGGTGAAGAGATGATGAAGGAATTTCTCCATGAGGAGTCACAGAAGTCCAGATTCAGCAGGCAGCACTGCTGTCATAGGGACTGCACTCAGAGAGAGATACACTGATCTTTTACAGTAGTATCAGGGTTTGAGGAAACTGACCACTAATTCTCTCTGCTGAAGTGGGCTGAGTTTTGCTTGTACAGCTACAGCTGTGCTCCAGCTACTCCCAAAGCCATGTGAGTCCTTCAAGAATGGATCTGGCATCTCTTGATTCAGCTACTTTGGTGCAGGTGCTCCATAATAAAATGATCTTTATTTCTATACTAGTCTCTCCATCATGGATTGAAAGAAACATCTATGAGTGGATTGATGTCTTATGGGTGGATTGTTGTCCATGACATGCAATTTGTGTTGCATGCCAGTATGAATTTTTCTAGTTTTTAACTGATTATGGAAATCCTGTCATGCTTGGAGAAATGTCCAACAAAGAGATCTTGACTGTTGTCTTCTCTGGAGATTCCCCTGGGGCTGATTGCTGTACAGGGCCACCAGAGCAGTGGCAGGGCTGTAAGACCACAAGTTCTGTAACCAGATGAGGTTGTTTTTCACAGGGTGAGAGATCCTGAGACGTCTCCATGACTGTGTTGTTTTATGTTGCTGCCTTTTTGGTTTTTGGTTGTTTTGTTTTGTTTGTTTGGGGTTTTTTTTAATTATAGCAGTAACAGCTTTAGAGTAAGTGCTCCATAAAACTGAGAAGTTACCTTCATTTTTGCTCATTATGGGAAAGAGTTATGTTAACAGATGTGGGCTCTGTGAGGATTTGCTGAGCTCTTAATCCTGATTGTGGCTAATAGGCCATGCTAATGTGGAAGGGCATCTCTTTCAGTATATAAAGGTCTTAACTGCTCCCTACCTAACGGAAATGTGGTGTTAAAATGCTCTAATTGTCTTAGCAGTAGTGACAGACCATGAATTCATAGATGTAAAACCCTGCCTTTTTTTTTTTTTTTGATGGAGAGAGATATTTTTATTTGTTAAGACAAACCCTAAAATAATTGCTGTAGGCAACAGAGGAACCAGGCTTTGTATATTGAGTGGGGCAAACAGCCAGAGGTCAGGTATTTGAGTCCTTTAGGCACACCTGTATCTTGAGGGGATGAGAATGTGTGTTGATATTCTCTTTGTTGTCTTTTGCCCTATCACTAGTTTAATTTCAGGGTTGTTTAGGTTTGGTGAGGTTTTTTTGTTTGTTTTCATCCTTCTTTGTTTTTTGTCTTGTACACCGGTTTTAGGTGCAAAGAAGTTAGTCACTTCTTTCTCTCTTAAAAGTCCAAGCTCTGTGCTTTTGGGTGTCAATGTACCTAGAAGTTTCTGTTGCCTGTTGTCATTAGAAATGTTGTAGAATTTCTCAAAATATAGGGCATGCCCCAATCAAAGTATTAAAGTTTTGAAAATGCAAGTATAATTTTAAGTATATTAGCAACTTGACAGAGACTTATCTTTCTAGCCCATCAATATGCTGGTCAAAACTTAATCTAAATAAAATAGTGTGTGGTGACAGGACTTTCCACTGCAGTATCATGTGTTTGTACAAAACACCGCTTTCCACCCTGTGTAATTAATGCATGCTATTTAAGTAGCTACGTCATTGATGGGGGCTACATTCTTGGGGGTCAAAGGAGTTACACTGTGTAGTTTTGTGGTGAGATGCTTTGTGGATAAAAAGCTTCTGAGCAAAGTATCTGCTTGCCTTCCTGTTTGGTCGTATGCAGTATTAAAGGCACATGCAAGACAGGGACACCATAGTTCCATGTTAACCAAGCATTCAGTGGGAGATGTTGATAACACCAGAAACTGGAGCTGGGCTTGTAGATGGAACATGGAGGGTAAGTGATTTGTGACACTGACTTGCAGTATGCAAGACACTTGATTTTTGGGTTTCTCTTGAGTGGAGGTTGCTAACAGTGCTACAACACTTCTATTTGCCCCTGTCTATAACAGCTGCAAGGGAAGGCTGCTTCCAAGACCATAATGCATTCTCTACTGGGCTTATAAAAATGAGACAGTAATACAGAAATTCAGTGAAAGTGTCAACCTTGAGGAATTTTTTTTTCTTTAAATAGGTAGTAAAAATAAGGGTGGACTTCTTTCAGTCTTCTGCAGGTGCCTGTGGACCTGGAGGTAAACGGATTTAGAAAAGGAGTCTGACTGCATACAGAGTGGGTAGGTTCTGAGCCACTCAGGTGGGTATTGACTTTCTGCTTTATGGCAGAAGGTCAGAGGAGACAAGTGTACAGGTTTTGCGAAATGGCCAAATGTGTGGTAGCAGGAATGCTGAAACTGACTTTGGACTTACTAAAGCCTGTGAACCAGGATAGAACGTAAACTCGTGCCCTAAGCCTTGGTGCCAGCTTGTCTCTTATCCGATCCCTTTCATGATTTTTATTTTATCTTGTTTGGATTGCACGTTTTCCATTAGACTTTTCTCATGATACTTTTCTTTGCACTGTAGCTATCTGTATTTTTCTTTCCTATTTACGCCCAGCTGTTCTTTGTCAGTTTGTCTTATTTTATTTTTAATTGCATTGTTAGATTTTTCTCCTGTGCACCCCCCATGTTGTTTACATTTGTTCTTCCTTTATTCATCTTCTTATGCCTTTTAACTCTTATCCTTAGAGGAACCAGTTTTACTCTTGGAGACCAGCCCTTTCGTATTGATTGCCAGCTGCTTTTATTGAAACTAATTTGCATTCTCTGCTCTTATTGTGCTAGACAGAGAACTAGTGATTTTGAGTAAAGCTCTTTCCCGAAAGGCTTTGCTCAGAAATTGTCTCTGTATTTCACAAAAAGAGTGGAAAATAAAGAGTAGCATCAGTGCAAAAGCTGCTTCTGCCTAAACCAATGTGTTTGTGTCTGTGTCACAGAAAGAGTAAAAATGTGGCCTGCCCTGCTGCAGGCACAAATGACTTCTCCAGGCTGAAATGAGCTGGTGCGGTGAGGGGAGTGCAGAATGATGTGACCTTATATTTACTTACCTGGGCAACCCTTAGACTCTGGCAGTAACAAATCCAATCCATTTTGATTGTGACTGTGTACTGCCTTGGTTCTTTTGTTTATGAACACTTATGTAGCTGTGATTTTTTTTTTTCTATAGACAGGTAAAAAAAACTATGAATAGTAAAGATGTACTACAGTTAAAGAGTTGAAGAGCTGTGGTTGTGTGACGGTAAACGTAGGGTGGGGGAAAGAGTTAAATTAGAGGAGATGACTGGGGAGACTTTAAGACTGGAAGTACCATCTGCCTTCAGATAGGCTCTTTCGATGAGTCTCTAATAAGGCTCCTCGAGCCTTACTAATTGCTAAGTATAAAACCCTTGTGTTTGGGTCATGTTGATTTTGGGCTTTGTATCATGGTAGAGCTATGGATAATCATGACTTGGATGTACCAAACCTCAGGATGTATATCCCATCTCCTTCTCAGACTGCTTTGGCTTTATAAATTGGTCTCACTGCTTTTTCACCCAGTGTCTGTTTGGTTTTGTCCGACACCTTGGCTTTGTTTGTATATTTAGAAAGGAGTTCTCTCACCATGGTACAGTGCTTAGTATCAGATCTGGAGGGGAGGTGTGTTACATAAATTTGTTATTAAAACTCATTGAAGTGTTTTGCCTCTCAAATGTTTGTTCTTAGCATGGCTGCTTACTGGTAATTATGTGTCAATAGCATTGTTGCATCATGAAAGATCTTGTACTTTGACACCCAGCTAGAAGGATAACAAAGAGCAGGATACAGCTTTTAGTTATAAAAATGCACTCTCAAACACAGCTTAGCTACATGGCTGTCATGATACAAATAAGATGGAAGATCCCAGAGCCTTTTATTGGACGTTACTGGTGCCAGTATAAAATATGGCTCTGAGCTTGCAGTCATGCCACAGAAAGGTTCGGGATATTCACCTCTGCTTGCTTGTTTTTGCAAATTTAGGTCTGCTTGGACAAACCAGTACACTTGCTGTGCTGGGTCTGGCCATCAACTCAACCTTCACAATGCAGCCTACTTTGAATAGAGGAACATATAGTTAAACTCTAGAGTAGTTTAGGACAGAAACTAAGGATCAACATGTGTCTGAAGAGGCTTGAGAGGTTTCAGTGTTGATGCTGCACAGCATAAGAAAAACTCAAGTTTACTGAATTGATAATTGTTAAAGGAGAGGCTTGTAGTTATACTATTATAATCTATGAAGTATGTTTGAAGGCTTGGAGACTTGGAGTTACTTGTGATGAAGTACTTTAGCATAGAGAAAAAGTC